AAAGGATAGGCTCATGTCGCATTAATGTTTAAACTGTTCATTGTGCGTCGTTTTGGTGCAAAATAAAATCTTACTGCGTTACGTTAATATCGGAATTTTCCTGATATTACTTCTTTCAATTTGTTCAAAGTTTTCTATAGCATGTAGAATGTTGGTTTCCATGACAAACCTACAGTAAATAGAGAGAGAAAAAAAATTGTTCTAAAAATCTCAAAGGATTCACATGAACCACGGTCTTGTGGATCTCTACCAAACGTCTATACTCTACTTTTAGCAATGGAAGATCATATCTTATTGGTCGGCTATTACGTGCGCACGTAGAGGCTATCGCGTGCGCACGCAGTGGCTATTGCACGCGCACGTAATTGCCTATCGCCTGCGCACGTATTGGCTATCGCGTGCGCACAAAGCAACCATCGCTTGCGCAAGTAGTAGGCAGTGATATTTTTGTTACTTAATTGGGAAGAGGCCTTAGCCTCTTGATTTTGGGAAAAAATATCGCTAAAATTTCTAATCTGGAAACTAAAAAAGCAGGTTTCAGTTCAGATTTTTGGGAAAACTGCATGATTTTAAAGAAAATTTCAATTGGGAAGAGGCCTTTTGTCGGAGTCCATTATAGAAGTAGGAAAATCACTGGTAGGTATCGCATGCGCACGTGATAGATAAAATATTTCTGATGTCTTCAATATGTCATCGTATATTACCCACTAGAAACTATGTTGTTCACAATCAACTAAAAATATATGTACGAAGTTAACAGTTATTGTGGCAGCTGTTTGTCAAATATTACATTAGATCTATGTACATTACATTACACATTACATATTACACAATAACATTACATTATATAATGAAGTTTACGAAAAATGAATTTTCAAAGTTCTTCATATACAGTATTGCCAACATTTTTGTTTTAAACTTGTGAGCGGTTATTTTCCGAGTACACATTTATAGGTCCATTTTCTCTTTACCTAAAGCGTCAGCTTATTCGTCAGCAGATAAGAACTACAATTTTTAGACTTTCCAAATGTTCGGCAATGGTAAAACATAACGCATTTTACTGGCAATTAGCTACAGTATGGTCAAAATAAAGGTTTACTGTACGTACAGTAATACATGTATTTCCTTCCAGTTTAACCGAGCTTGAGAGTCCATTCATCCATCCACCTATCGGACAATTTGCTAACTGTACATATGATTGGTAATTATTTACACATTACCATAAAAACCTTGACATTTAATTAAAGAGAAACTGAAATATCAAGAAAATGGATGTCAAAGACGATGGAGTTCTTAGACCTGTCGCAGAAAAGTTGGGTGTGCCAACTGATATGGTATGGAGTATGAAGTATTTGCATTAAGTATTTTCATATTGTAAAATGTGTTATAAAAATCTACCGGAGTTTGTTGTGAGGAGAAAATCATATGTGCTCTGAAGTCGAAATAAAAATGAAGTAGACTAAAATAAATTTATAGATCTATATGATAATGAAGACTGAAGCTGAATCGATCTTCATTTTTCAATTGTCAATATATTTTCTAGAAATAATATCTATTATGTTAATTAATGCAAAGAATGTTTTAAAGTGGTTTTGTTTTGGTTTTAGGAAGCTCAGGAAATGTCGAACTTGCAAATTGCTATGCTGAACCATTACTCAGGAATTTTCATTTACTTAATAATATATTAAGGGGCTAGCCCTTACGGTTCGGCACTGCCTTACTTGAATGCTAGTTAATCCTATACAAATATTCCAGTTACATTTTTACTGTACATTTTTAAAAAAATCAATATGCTCAATGACCAATATTTGCATGGCTCTTCACACACAATTATTTTGCCATTCCTTTTTAAATTGTATAAAGAGAAGCAGATCGCATAAACAAGATATATCCAAAATAATTATATTATGTTGTTATATGAAAACATTAATTACCTACTGCTACTGCTGAAAAATCTGCTACTCCAATTCCAGTAGCTTTATCAGTTCCAACGGGTCTGTGACATCATTAACCAAATATTGGTGTATGAAATTACTGAAAGATTCAAACCCCCCCCCCACATGGGGGGAAGAATGAATTAAGTCAGTTTATAATTAAGCGTGATGATAAAAGCAAAATTTTTACATTATCTAGGTAAATGATGTTTTCTGATATGTTCTGTCAGTATATTCTGGTGTCCATGGAACTTATAATATGTGTTTGCTTTTCATTTCACTATATATTTATAACTACTTACATTAAACTACATAATGATTCATGAAAGTGGAAAAACATATAAGATTTAAGACAATGAGAAATAAGGATGACGTTATACAAAATAAGATATTGTTCCAGAAACTGAATTATGCCGAAAAAACATATCTCATCACATTTAATAGTGCAATAACTGGTTAACTCATATAAAATTTTCAAGGACTTAACCTGTTACTGCTCAAAGGCAAGGGCGTAGCGACTATAATGCACAATACGCAATTGCGTATCAAAAAATTCCGAAGGTAAAAAAAATAAAGTTGAGAAAATCTAAGTTTTAATGATTTTGTTGCTATAGATCTAGATCTCCATTTCTGTTTACAAAATATTTCATTGCGTCATACTGTTTACTAGTGTAAACTATGATTGCGTCACTCTATCGTTTGACGTTTCTATTAATTATCGTAATAAATGTGCAATAGGAATTTAAGTTTCTCGTTAACTGGAAAGCTCAGCATTAATATATAAACTAGGCTCATTGGTCAAATTCTCAGAAAATAAAGATTTTTAAGACTTTTCTTAAAGATTTAGACCAATCCTTTCTCAATCGTTTCCTTTGGAAAGCTCTATTTTAAAACGATTTTAAATCTTTCAAGTTCTAGATCAAGATTTTAAAAATCATCAAATTTTTGGTATGTTGTTAGTTGTCAAAATGAAAAGAAACATCCGCCAAATTCCAGGACAAGCGACCCTGTTTATGGTCCTAAAACAGAACCCCATTCAAGTCGATAATGCATCTGACCAGGCAGAAACAAAACAAAATTCACAAGACCTTGCATATGACCCTCCTGTGATCAGCAAATCAGACACTAACCTCCTCCTCTTTGTCTCCCCCTGCTTCTTCTCCCCTCGAGAACCGCTAGAAGCACCCTGGGAGCACAATCCCTGTATATCGGAAGTATTGATATCAGAAGCCGACTAAGAATGCCAGATTCTAAAAAAAAATGTCCTCACCGAACAGTTCGAGCCACATACAGGTTGGGTTGCACCTCTCAGAGAACTCGAAAAAAGCCAACAAGTAGGCGAGTTCAGGACTTTGTGTTTGAACAATAGACGCACCCATCTACTTAAGGTACATCCCTTTATTTGATGGGGTATTTTGTGCTCCATGTTTTGCCTTTAATGCGGCTGAAAATGTGCTTGTTGCTCGTCCATTGATTGACTGGAGCAACGCAAGAAAAGTCGTTGATGGGCACACACACTCAAAAAACACATGAATTTCATCACAAGAGCCGACCACTTTGTACGCATCTGGAGGGAAGAGCAGAATGTGGTCGAGTTCAGATCAACGGCCTATCGCAGACAGTACAAAAGAACACGGAGGCGTTTGCAGCCATCATTGAGGCCATTATATATAATTCTTTGTGGGCAACAGAATATACTATCTAGGCTATGAGTAAATCTGTAACTTTCTCATCACCGCCTGAGGAGACATATATGGAGTGATCATTAGACCATTTAATATCTCGTTGTATCTGGTAATTTCCCTACTTTCTTACGATGAAATAGAAGTGTTCTCAGAGTATAATTTTTCTTGTGCATTTGGAAATAATACATACACTTGGATAAATAAGACTGAAGGCTTAAGAAAAAAGCCGTTCTAACCAAACTGATTTGATGAGAAATGCTAAAAAAACTTGTTATCTGGTTAAATGCGTTTTACAATTAAACGGGCATTCATACATAAACCAATTTCATGATCTGCATCCTTAATCAAACTTCACATGGAAATTTTTTTATGTATATGCACGTGTAAAATAAGAAAACTACAAGGCGTACACTGCCTTTTCGAAGTTCGAAGTTATAATAAAATAAGTTAAAAAGTAAAACGAGCAGCTATATGTTTATCAATTTACGGGGAAAAATGACTTGAAAATGCTTCATGCTTTATGTGCAAAAGGTGCTTCAAGACATGCCAGAGCTCACGATTTAACATCTATTTTTTCAAAATTTTCCTGGGGAGACCCCCCGTACCCCCACCAGCGGGAGGGGGACACCACCTCCCGCACGCTCCCCCTCTCAGCACTTAGTGCCTCGCTTTGTGTATCATTTTCCGAGCCCTAGCTACGCCCCTGCAAAGGTGACAATCAGTAAAATTTTACATTAGAACTTCTGTGACAATACATCTTCTAATGTAAATATTTCCTATATATATATTGTCTCAATTATGACATTTCCTATTTTTTATATTTATTAAATAGTTTAGGTATGTTTTGGTTTTTCAGTATCTTTTTGGTAAATTCATACACCAATCAAAGATTATCCTCAAGTCTCTTGAGAGACTGTGTTTGAAACATAATCAGATGTTACGTTGATATGTTACAAAATACAAAATAAAATTGCTTGAGTGATCTATTATTTTTTCTTTATCCATCTGATGCTGAGAAAAAATAAAAAGAAAATAGCTTAGGTTGTGGTTAAGTACAGTATATTCATTATAAATTATAAATAAACAAATAGAATAGTTATCATGTCAAAAAACTTTGAAATTTTAATATCACTGGACATTATGAATTACTTCTGATCATAAGTTGAAATATTTTTTGAACCACCTTTATTTAAAAAGAAGTAATTCTTTGGCTAATGGATTTAATAGATTTACTTGTAGGTAGGACATCACACTTTACCTTTCAGAGAAAAGATGTATATCTTGTTTAAAGAAATAATATATGTTTTGTATTTCAGAAGTTTCATGATAACTCTTTGGAACTTGGAAGGGCAGCAAGTGTTATTTATATAGATAATATTACCATATACCCCATGCTTGGATTGGTGTATTTATCCCCATAGGTGTAGGAATATGGTTCAAAACAGTTTGCAGCAAATTATCTTCAAAGATATGAGTAGTTGTTTTAACTAGAGCATAGAAAATTTATATAATTTGGTTTATTTAAAACAAATGTAAAACAGACTGTTAAGTGTTTTATGAGTTAAAGGAGGATATGTGTAAGTATGTGTAAGGCTTACAGATCTTGAGCCATTGTTTTTTTCCCTTCATTATTTGGTTGACAACAAGGCTTTCCCCTTCTGGTGGTAGGTAGTATTAGGTAAAAAAAAAAATTAGTTAAATTTTTTTTTATATCTGACTTGCAATCAATGGATTTGAAAAGAAAAGGTAACTTCTTAGCACCTAAGTTTGAAAGTTTTATTCAGCATAATGTCCTAGTTGATATATTTACAATACACAAACAGGAGATAATTTATATTAAGATGTGATTCTCATTCACAGGCTCTCCTCTCATATTTGGTAAAATGAACTATTATAACTGTATTATTATATTTTTTTTTGGCAGTAAAACCATTTTGATAGCTTTGATAACTGACCCCATTTTTGTATGCAGTGAATCATATTCTAACTAGCAGCTGTGAGCTATCATATGGCTCCATCCTTATACATGTATTTAGTCAACTACTTGCGATGATAAAACAATCATATACTTGTCTAATGAATTGATAGTGACTAATATTTTTATGTATGACTGTTAAAAGTTAAATTTATGGCTTATATGATATGTGTTTTATATTGGCTTAAAGATAAAATGTTTAACATTAGGTTAAAAATGATGAGTTTTATATTGGCTTAAACATGATGAGCTTTATATTGGCTTAAAGATAAAATGTTTTATATTGGCTTAAACATGATGAGTTTTATATTGGCTTAAACATGATGAGCTTTACATTGGCTTAAAGATAAAATGTTTTATATTGGCTTAAATATGATGACTTTTATATTGGCTTAAACATGATGAGCTTTATATTGGCTTAAAGATAAAATGTTTTATATTGGCCTAAACATGATGAGTTTTATATTGGCTTAAACATGATGAGCTTTATATTGGCTTAAAGATAAAATGTTTTATATTGGCTTAAACATATAATGATATATATTGGCTTAAACAATATATAATGTATTATCATTTGTCATATTTTGAAACATTATTTTGTTATATGAATACCATATTGTCACTGTGTTATTAGCACATATATTGTTTCATTAAAACATTTGTGAATTTTTTATACCAATCTTATAAGATACAAGAAATGAGAAAAATTAATCTCAGTACCTGAACAGTCAAACTTATTC